TTTAGACCAACTTTCTACATATGATAATTCTTGCCTTCTTAGCTGGGAGCATATTGCACCAAGACTTAATAAAATTCTTAGAGGAAGAAAACCTCTTTGGTTTACAACCCTTGAAGATTTAGTATTAGACCACAATCGTAACAGAACATTTCATGAACAATATAATCTTCCTGATATCAATCACTACAGCTTTTCTACTGGTCACTTTTCTTTAAAATCAAAGCCATGGCTTATAACTACTATTGAGGACCAAATAATAGTAGGCAAAGCAAGAAGACGAATTACTTCAACTGGTTTTGTTCTTATTACACACTGGCAGTGCTCTTTTTTACCACAATATATTAAATTATATCCAACTCAACCTATTAATTTTAGTATATGTCCTGGCTGTTCTCACAATTCTAATCTCATTGCCAATAGATGTACAATATTTATTCCTATCAATTTAGCATCTAGATTTTTCTGCACTTACAACTCTCAAGAAAAAACTATTAAACTTTATACTAATCATTTAGATTTAATATATTCTATCGCAATTTGTCATCCTCTTCATATCCTACCTACTTCTAGTATCTCTTACAACCCTGCTTCAATTCCATCTATATTTGAACCTGGATCCCTTACTAATACACTTCAAACTATTGCCAACTCTAACATTCAACTTTCTGAAATTACTTTTTATACAGATGGCTCTGTCTTAGACCTAGGCACACAAAACTGCTCCATGGGTATTGGATGGATACAAATTCATCAGAACAATATTTTACACAAATTCCAAGCACAAATCAAATACTGGCTATGCTCATTCAAAGCAGAACTTGTTTCTATATTATCAGCAATTAGCATTGCACCTAGATCTTGTACTATTTATATTTTTACAGACTCACAATCTGTTATTTCTAAATATAATAGCCTCCAAAATTTATTGCACTTCTTTTCTATTACAAACACTCCATACTCGTTATTGTGGTATACTTTTATTAACTTTACTCAATCATACAACCACCAAATTATTTTTCACAAAGTCACTGCACATCAAGAGGATCAATTCAATAATCTTGCTGACCAATTGGCTCGTAGCCACCTTACCTCAGGCTTTCTTACTTTTAAACCTTATAACATCTATAATCCTAACTATTCTTTTTAATTAGATGAATATCCTCTAGAGCTACCAACTCGACACACTATCCATACTATATGTTATTCACATATTTATGCTCTGTGGTCATCTCAGTGCGATTTCAACAGTGGTCTCAAATTGCTACTTATATTAACTGGTCTGCTACTTGGCGTTATATCAACAACATCCAAAAAATTTCAAACTTCTCACATAGCTTTCAATCTTCTACTTTTAAATCATTTCGAGTTAAAATTCTTCTTGATGAGTTGCCTACTCCTCATATATTGTTTAAATGCAATCATCATAACTCACCTAACTGTCATCAATGCAACCAAATTAGTATACTATTACATTGGGTTACTTGCTCATCACCTGCACTTTTACACAATATTATTGATAACAGGTTATCAACTCAACATCATTGGATGTCTCACCCGAACTAATTACTACAATTCATAATCAAATCAAACATCTTGACAGTATGAAATTTCATTATAATCAACGTACTCCATCTATTAACTCTACTTTGTCTGGGCTTGTTCCTCTTGATATTATAAATCTACTCAAGGACATTACTTCATCTGCTACATTAGCATCAACCATTACTATTAAATTTCTTTTACACCTTAATACACAAATTTATCATAATATTTGGATATCTTACTGCATTTCTCGCTCTTCAATTCAATCATCTAACAATGCTATATCTTTTCTATCAGTCCCATCTCCTTCTACTTATCAGTCTTCTCAACCTCTACCACTTACTACAGCTAATGCTAAAATTTTATTATGGTATCCTTTATGGATCAAATATCAAACAAATTTGAACTATATAATTACTAATTTACAAATCTAGGTGAGCCATGACCACCCTAGTTGGTTTAGGCCGCAGATAAACTAGTCTAAGTTTCTTTTCTTGCTATCTTAGGATATAAAATTTAAATAGATTCTTTTTTTTGTAAGGTTCTTCTTCATTGTAGAAGAATTAAATTAAATTTTAATAAAGTTAGAGACATGATCTCACCATTAATATTCAAAAAAAAATAAAATAAAAAAATAAATATTTTTGCAAAATCAAATTGATATTTTTTACATCTGAGTTTTATGATCAAAGCTATACTGTAATTTCTTTGTTTATATATAGCCTATAATTTGATGATAAAATACAATTTTTAAAAAAAAAATTCTTCAAAGATTTTTAGTGCAGAAGCTAAAAAAAAGTAATTCATGTTAAAGTTTAAAATAATAAAAAGTGATTTTATATACAAAGAAGACTAATATAATTTGAAGGAAAGTTCACATTTTTTTATAAAACATATAAATCATTGTATTATTTCATATGTGCTGCAATTTGCAGATCTATTAAATAAATCATTACTCTGAAAATTTTCAAACCAATTTAAAAATTTTCTGATATAAATTGAATAATAAAAGCTAATAAAAAAAGCTAATAAAAATCAAAAAACAATTTTTATCTTGTATAAAAATTTTTATTTATTACTAATAATTTTTTATAATTAAGACAAAAAATATTATATTTAAGAAAATATATTTAGAAAAATCTAATTAGATATTATTAATTGTTAACCAATTAAATTTTTTTTTATTTTAAAATTTTGGTTATAAAATTATTTTTTATACTCTATTAATAAAAATTTTCTTGTAACTTTAATATATATTTTTATTAAATCCTTTATACAATCTAACTTTAATTTTAGCTTAATGTAAACCAATACCAATCAATTTAAACAAATGATTAACAAAATCTAATACAGTTTTCTTGCTTGTATATAAAACTTGTAATCAAAATAACAATACTAGAGATACAATATACGCATGTAGTTTCTATTAAAAAATCTAGATCATATAATCTTTTTTAAATATTAACCTTATTTATTAAAATATTATACTTCAAATTACTTTAGAATAAGTTATAAAATGGAGTATTTATTTTTGATACACTCCACACTCTGGTGCACCTCTTTTAATATCTCAATTTTACTAGCATTGTGTAACTAATAAACATATTCGTGAAATTTTACCCTAACCCTAACTTTTAATCATCATTTGTACTTATTTACTATTGGGTACACCAAAATGCACCCTGCACCAAATATAAATTATCTATAAAATATACTTAGATAATACTATACGTATCATTTTAGTGGTATATATGTTAATATTAGATAAATTCTAATAAAATCAAATTAATTAATTTGGAAGATTGTCGATACTACGTAGAATTCATATTAAGTGATAATCTAACAATCTATCAGACGAGTCGAACGATGTTTATTTCACAAATAAATAAATAAATATTTACGACAATACAATAAATTACAGTAGGATGGTTAACATACAATGTTAACAAAAAAAATTTCTAGAATTTAATAAAACTTACTCATGACCATTGTTTTCACGTGATTTAAAATAATAATAAAGCGACACGCTAATCACAATGTTAAGAAAGGTTATCACACCGATAATATAGAGAGTAATTCGTTCTCCTCGTGTAAATCGACCAGCATTAGAATCTAAAGGATGCGCTTCTTCTACATCAACCGCTGCTAGAAGATTATCATAAAAGTGTATATAAAGTAATTTAAATAAATATCTTGAATGGTAGAAATAATTTTTATGTGTACTTACGATGCGGTACTGAAGGTAAAGCAGGAGGGTTTTCAGATTCTTTTGACTCCCGGAGTTTCAACATAGCCTTTCGTAGAGATCGTTTTCCAAATAATGATAATGCAATCACACAACATCCAACAAAGATAAAATTCATGGTGATAATCACAATATCTAGAATATAAAACAAGTTAAAAGGTTAGTTTGATAGGATGGGATATGATAACCAATAAGTAATACATACCTTCATCTTTCAATTTATATTCATCAAGCTTACTAAGACTCTTGACTAGTGATCCTATCCATACCGCATTAAACGCACCGGGTAGAACGCCAAGAAGGGTTGCCCACAAAAAAGTCCAAAACTATAATTCAGAATCGTTAGAATTGTGCACCAATATCATTTTGAAACATGGAAACAAGACAGCAAAATTTTGTTTCATGAAATATTACTTACATCAACTATACTAACTGAGAAAATGTAACTAACCAAATTAAATGGTAGTGGAGTCAGTCGTAGCATGAGAACAATTTTCCATCCTACAATGTTTTAAAATAGTATAAACCTTTGTTATTCGTATAACTCGTATAATTCATATGACCAGTAATAAATAAATATATATATACCTTCTTCGGTAATAACATTATTAATGACATGATTAAATTCGGCAATTGATGGTTTTTTTTCAATTTGTGCCCTAACCCAATCTGAAAAGACATATCTTCCAAAAATAAAAGCACCAGTCGCTGCCAAACCATCACCCAACATAATGACTAGCCCTGCTAGTATTGGGGGTTTAAATAAGAACCCTGCTGCTATGCTTATTATTGATCTATGCACATTGTAATTAATTTATTATTTGATTAGTTTTGAAGTTTGGATTAAAAATTATTGTATCACGTGAACGTATAACTGGAAAATTACCCCGGCAAGAACACCCATACACAGACAACATAGATAGATAAATATATAGCAATTCCATAACGTTCATGTATTTCAATATAATGAAGGTATTCCTTGAGATGATTTTGGACTTTAAGAACCTAATGTTATTTATTTGACAAATATGTAATATAAAGAAGGATCAATAAACGACAACTTATTATTTAAAAAAGGAAGTCTATACTTACAGCCAAAAGAAAAACGATAAGTGCAATAAACATCGCCAACAAAACTAGCCTAATAAAATTCTTTAAAGTGCAAATATTTGGCTTTTCTTTTTTCTTATTATTCAACTCTCTTGTCATTCCTTGACTAGCAATGTCATCACCCCCCGCAGTAATACTGCTTATTTCGGATTGTAGCAATGTACTTGTTTCATTATACTCATCACCATTATCTTCGGGATATTCTTGCAAGTTGTTAGCCATCAAGATTATATTATCGTTTGTTGAAAGATCACTAACTGGATCTTCGTTTCTTGGTATGTCCGGCAACATCTTTCATTTATAACTACGATAAATATGTAACATCTTAATTAAGCATCGAAATGAAATTCAGCCACAAAAAATTACAATTAGACAGAATAAGGAAAAAAGAGTTATTAATTTGGGTGAGCTCGTGATATTATTAAGCGAATTACTTTTTTGGGGAACGCCTAAAGTTATACAGTTGGGGTTAGAGCAGGTATTATTATTACTGTTTATTAGTGAGCTTTAAACATTCATTTCGTATATTTTTTCGCGCTTTGAATTTTGATACGTTTATCAACCAATTAACTCATGATTTTTGATTATCGTTATGCTTTATTTGATTTCACATTACTGATTTTCTTTAGTCATGTGTCTATAGTACAACTCACTTTCGTTATATATAGTGAAGATTCGATATAGTGAAAAATTTTTAACTAGAATTATTAAACTTCAACTCGGTATAGTGAAATACGTATAGTAGTCTCTCGATATAAGTCATAACGAAAGAGAGTTGTATTAAAACATTGCCTCTTTTTGGATTAATTCATGATTCGGTAACATTAACAATAAATACTGTATGACTATGATAATGAAAATTACAATGTTCACTTTGTATACTTTGTAATAGACAATCATCATTATTAGTAAATAATGTATATATTTTTGTATTACAAAGTTCTTTTTTTTTTTTTTTTTTTTAGGTACGTACGTATTTACAAATGTTAAATTTTTATTACAAATGATATGTTTGATGTGTAGTGATGTATATATGTGCAATTTTTCACTAATACTGTATAATAAAAATGATGGTTAATTATGTTCTTGATATACTAAAAAATGATTAAAAAAATTATATAATACTTTTGGTGATTTTTCTTTGTATAAAACGTAAAAAAAAAAAAAAAAAAAAAAAGAAAAAAAATAATGCAAATTTATATCGATTACTACACATCAAATATAATCTAGTATCCTAGAAATCTTTTCTGGCGTTAAAATAATTCTACCTATAAAAGAAACATGTATTGTTTAGGATAGTAATCTATGCGCCTATTCTCTAAATTTATGAAAAATTACCAATTACCTTATCACTAAAGTTTATATTACCCTATAGTTAAAATTATTTTACCTTACCAACCCAGGAAAATTGCACAAAAAAAAAAAAAAAAAAAAAAAAAAAAAAAAAAAAAAGAAAATTTTTTAAAAAATCTATTAAAGTCCAATCTACCCCAAAATTTCTCTTTTCATTTGACTATTTTTTTTTTTT